GACTTGAAAAAAGCTGGAAAATTTGTTACCTGTGGACTCTTCTCTGCTAGAGTTGATCGTCGTAAGTAACATAGGCCACGTTAGTTTAACAACAGCTTTTTCTTCCTTTCCGTTGATTCTTTGTTCGTGTTTTAACAAGTTTTTGTTTACTATTAATTGATTTTTATTGTTGGACTGATTGATAATGAACGTTAAATATTGACTGAAAATTTAGTAATCTAATCTAGTTTAATCTAGTACTGTTAGGATTTCTAACTTCCTGTATTTAATTTTTGTTCCGAGTTCAGCATGAAGTTAGATTAAATCATACGCCGACGAAGATTTCGCAGCATTGGTGACGCGTGACATGAATGATGCGAACGTACCTTTGAAATACTTGAAGAGATCCCTACCAATTTTTTTTGTAATGAATTCACTGCTTAACAAAACAACTCCATACCTATGCGAAAATGAATTACATAGGTGCAAATTTTGTTAGGTATTTTTGACTATGCTAAAGGGCCTTCTGACTGGAATACAGCCACTTCTAAAGTTTTCGTCACTAAAAAAATCACAAATGTAAGTTTATTGAAATTGATAGCATTGTTATTAAGAAAATCCACAACACGAGGGGAAGTGGACAGAACTTAATGCTACCTAAAGTGAGATCTAACACTGCAAGAAAGGCTTTTTACCTTCATTTAATAGATCGAAACCTTTTGCCAATATTCTAAACAAAATTAATTAGTACAACTCAGTCGTGATTTTTTTAAAAACCGTATTTTGGAATTCTATTGACAAATACATAATTTAGTATTTGCAAACGTTAATACAACCATCTAACATTTTTCAGTGCTTGATGAGATACAAAAAATGAGGTTTTCTTGATTTATTTTCTATCGTGCTGGAAGACAGTTTTAAACTTTCAATTTGTTGAGTAATGCTTTCGTTTGGAAATTACACATTAAATATACTCAATTGAGTCAACGCACACAAAGTCTCTACAATAAAATAATGATATCAACCCGACTTGGTTACAAAAGGCAAGGGATTTTCAATTTTCGTTTAAAACGACTCTAAAAGATATTTTTGTGGGGTTGATTTCTTAGTAAATAGTAAGCCTGTAATCATTGTTTGAACAGACTACCAAGGGGGGTACTCCCTTATTTGGCCTTATTGTGTCTCTGAAGAGGATAGGATATTCAAAGCCTTGATTCTTAACAGGGTAAACAATTTCACTTTTTATAATAAGCTTCTTGAACTGGGGGTCGATCTTTTTGGATCGGGAATGGGAAGGTTGGCGATGAGTGGTCTACTTTTGTGGTACCGACAATTATTTTTTCGAACTAAACCTTATTCTTTGATGTTTGGTTCGAAAAGGACATACGTAAAGTCAGTTGTCTTAAGCATAATTATAAAATAAGTTGTATATTAAAGTATTTAAGGTTGTATTTAATTGCTTTCTCACCTCTCATGACTTAAACTGTCTCGCTTGATTAGCTCTCTTGTTTGCTCAACATGTTCTCGTTTAATTTACTTATTTAGTGGGACTATTGTCTTCCATTTGATATCATGCATGATTGACGGTACTGATTGTTGTCACTTTTTACATCGCCAACTTCTCTATTAACTTTATCAGTATAGAACCCTTGAATAAACTCGAAAACGTTCCTTTGTAATAATAAAACGCGAAGACTGAAATTTGGAAAAAGGAAGAGCTTTACAGATATTTCTAATACAATACAGTGCTTCAAAACAAATATTTTTCTGCAGCAAAATTTGCGATGGAAAGACTTGCTAAAAGCGCTCCATTCTTACCGCAGTCTACAATGTGAAACCTTATAACTAGCTATTTTCGTAAAATGAAATTATAACAACTTCTACTCGTAAATTTGCTTCCGCTATAATGTTAGAAGAAGCTAAAATTCGAGTGTGCGTTCGAGAAGTGGTCAAAGTTTTTGGTTTGTGACAAACAAACTACGTATACTGGGACAAAAAACTAAGCAATAAGCGCCTGTAGCACCTAACCGTGTTGGCTATAAATGCATTTATATTCTTTTAAAATTGAAAGCATTTTAATGTTTTATTTTAGGTTTGTCGTTTCATTCATTCTTTTTTTCAGTGAATCTTGCTGGCGCGATCCTTCCAGACGATCGAGGTTGAATTTGGATTAAACTATACTTGCTTTGCTTTTTAATTACTGTTAAAAACGGTTGCCGATAAAAGAGAAGGAAAGTAATAAATTCAGTTTATAAAATTTTTGAGCATCGAGTATCCGGTATATATATGCCAAATAGTCATCAAAATAATAAGATCAGATAAAACCTAGGCAGCAATTAATGCACTCGTTTTCTCTACTGTGTACAGTCTAATGAGAAACTGTGAATCTGTAATAACTGAAGTAGTTATCGAATTAATCGCATGTTAAAACCATAACCATAACTGCGGTTTTAGGAAATATACAATGACCTCACAGCTACAATTCAACACTCTCCATTGCAGCTGTAAACAGCAGTCGATCTCTTAAGACGGTTAAAATTAGGGAGCTGTAGATTTTCTTTCGAGGCTTTACTTACCCTATTTAATTTGGTTCACTCTCCACGCTTTTCTGGAACTGAACAAAAGTGTTTCTCGGCGTCCGAGTGTTACATTCCCTTCTCATAGTTACTTAGTGAACTTCACCGTAAAAGCTCAGTTGATCATCATCGTTCTCATTGCCAATAACACTCTGAGTTCCGGTGTTAAAATGCTTTCGCAGTGCAATGAAATCTTCAAATATTGTTTTTGTATTTTTCAAGCTCTATAGTCAAAGAGCCATTTGTTTCAAACGGGAGAAATATAGCGATAATTAATTCATTTTCATTCGAGTTTACATTCTTGTAGTGTTTTGTGGTCAAATGTTCACCTCTCGTATACTGCGATATTGTATGATAGTAATGAAAATTTACGATGCCCAATTATTAGCCAATGATGGCCTAATGTTGCGGTGTGAGTTTTAATTGAGCGCAGCATTATATTAATATAGGTTATAAGTCACGCATTGTAGCCTCCTGGTAGCGTGATAGCAAGCTCTTGAATCCTTAGGAGGATATTGTGAAAAGCATACGCGAGCGGCGGCGCTTGTTCTCTCGCGCGTATTCTCTCGCCGCCCGCTTCGTTCGTCACTCTTTCTCTCAGGCTAATCTTTGCAAGTAGCGAGTGAGGTCATGTTAATCAACCGTTTGAACTTGGTAACAAGCAGTGCATTAAGTATAAATTTGCATTGAAAGGTGAACAAGATTGTTTCAAATGACCAGGACATTATTATAAGGAAAACGTTTGACACATCCTTACCTCACGGACCTTGCTTTATGGAGAGCAAAAAAAAAAAAAAAAAAAAAAAAGAAGTAGCAGAAGGAGAAAACACCAGTGCAATAGTATGTGGGCCAAAAAACGCCAGCAAATCCTCTTGTAACACAGTAAGGAGGTATGACACTCATGTTGCATTTGGCAGAAAACGAAGCACAGTAATTTTGAACTCAGCCACAGCAAATCAGTCCTAGTAATGAATCCCGCCTTTTATTTGATACCATCAGTTTTGATGTCTAACAGGTAGACAAAATAGTAAAAAGTACCATTTTCCCAGGTATACCCGGGAAAACTGAAAAAGGATCTGAAACGCTATAAGGCAATGATTATAGCGTACAGATGTGGAGTTTAAGGCAAACTCTGAGCTTTAGAAACTTCTTCAATGAAGATACGGGACACGGACTGCTATCTTGGGGGGCAAGGATGGCGCAGTGATGAGAGCACTCGCCTCCCACCAATGTTGCCCGGGTTCAAATCCCGGCGTCGATGCCATATGTGGGTTGAGTTTGTTGTTGATTCTCTCCTTTGCTCCGAGAGGTTTTTCGCTGGGTACTCCGGTTTTCCCCTCTACTCAAAAACCAACATTTTCAAATTTCAATTCGACCAGGAATCAGATGGACGAAGAACCACTATGTGGATGTGCTACCTGCAAATCGTTATTTTATTTTATTTAGCCCGTGGAGGCCGGTTAGCATTAGATCCCACCGGTCTTAGCCCCTTTCTTCCCTTATGAAATTTACACAAGGTAGAACTGTTTTCTGCTTTTTTATCACTCTTAGATGATATTTCAAGTGCAAGTCAATTTGAAAGAAAAAAATTGACATGAAAGACAGTAGGATTCGAAACCACGACCCAGAAGACCCAGTACATGTATACTACTCTAACCAGTAAGACCACGGAGGTTTTGAAGTGTCCGAAGGGGCTACGGTCGATGGGATCTAATGATAACCATGGAGACATCACCAGCGACTCCATGTTGGCAATTACCAACCCAGAATCCCACGCGCACCCTTCTTTTGTAAATGTTTTTACAATGCTCCTTTATATGGCAAACGCGGTGAATATCTTGAGTGTTGCCCTGCCACATGTACACAATAGCGTCAATTGCTAAGGGAGCTGAACACTCTGCGCCGTTGAAAGTGAAATACCATCGTTTGCAACAAGGTGCACACTTATAGACTTTAAAGGCACCGGTTCAGGAAACACGAGAGCAGAGTCAGAAATGTTTTTATAGAAGATGCAGTCCTCAATAAAGCAACGACAACAATAGAAATATATCTATTTATGCGAGTAATTATGTATGTATCAATTGTATCGGATGAGAATGAAATGGTCTTAAATTGCAGAGAGGTGGACGTCGTTGCAATTGCAAAGAAACTGGGAGAATTGATTCTCAACAAACTGCAAATACTGATAAACAGGACAAACAACAAATAGGTGCTGTTCCAACAAAATTAAATTTGGCCGAGAGAATAATTTTTAACCTTGTGGTTTATTTCCAACATATCTCAAAGTTAAAGTCCGAATCGTGCACCGAATGCTTCTGTTTTTGAGAGAGTAAAACAAAGCATTTGACGCCTATTCCTGTTTTGCGGTCTAGTATTCCATGAGATATTAAAGTGCTAAAACGAAGTGGGATTTGAAAGCAGATACAATAATAAAACTTACCTTTATCAGACCGTAATCCCTGTTATCATCTGAGTTTTTCCAAGCACGCTCTTTCCAGTTCCTGGTAGCAAGCATTCCACTTGATCCTGACTCCCCTTCGGACCGGGGATACCTTGCTCCCCTTTGGCACCATTTGCACCAGCTGGGCAAGGAGGACCCTGTGGTCCAGTATTTCCCGGAATTCCTTGGTCACCTTTTGCCCCGTCTCGGCCCGATATCCCAGGTGTACCTGGTATGCCATGCATGAGTTACAGAAGGATGTTGAATTCTTTAAAAAAGGAAGCATGATACAGATATAGGAGCAAGAGAGCAGAAAGGGTCCCCTTTCTTTTGACTTTAAGGAAAACTTTGAGCTTCTTTAAGGTGGCTTCCTGGTTGAAATTTTTGGGGAAATAATGTTGATTTGGAAAATAATTAAACTAGGGTAGAAAACATATAGCAGTTAGTCCGGTAATGGGCTCAGAGGCACCTTTAGCTTGTTGTGGTTGTGGACTATTGGTATTGGTCTACTAATTATTCACTTGTTAATTTAATTGTTAAAAACCACGAAATCCAATATTTTCCAAAATTTTTGAACAGTACCACCTAATTTTTATTTATTAAAAACATTCGAAAGATAATCCAAATATTCTCCAAAAATTAGTGAACAGACTCCAACTTATACAGTCCTTTTTTTGATTAAATGAAATCTTGACTAGATGTTGCAGAAAATGGGCCCAAATAAACGAAAAACAACGCTTTTAATTAGAAAGTCCACGGCAATATAAATGAAAACGAATTAATAAGCAGCAATAAATAATCTAAAATGCATGAAAACTGCTAAGCACATTGTCATTTCTCCCATGATTTTCATAGTTCAATATATGGATGAATCAGAATAAAAACCAAACACACTCCATTTGGCGATGATGATGTCTCTCTTATGGAACTTAACCCAAGTCCCAAATATCCACATACAAATTCTCCCGACTGATTCCCTTACTTTTCCCTAGAAAATAAGCTGAGGGATTTTGCTAAAAAAAAAACAAGGCAATTTCCTTTTGGTGAAAATCTTAATAAATTCTCGTGACTTTTTTTCTCGATGATACATTGATATTTTTGGAAGAAAATTGATGGGAAATATGTTTTTTTTTCAGTTTGTGTCTTAGGCGGCTCAGAAGAAAAATCTCGGCGAGAGGGAGGCTGCTCTATGCCTGCCAATCCCTTCATAGCACTAAATAGTGACTATAATATGGTTACTTATTTTCACGGGACATGATTTTTTGCAATTTTTGGTCCAGAGTCTGAAAGACTCGGCCACATAGTCCTATACAGCAGACACCAAGGGAGTATCCCTTGGGCCTGCAATTAAAATAAGAGGTCACTTTATCTGTTGTGAAGACCCGGCATAGTTATGTGAAGAACTTATTTAGAATTTCCATTACGCACAATGCGACAAACGAAAAACGGTTTTGAAAGCAGTGTTTAGAATTTTCTTTTAAAGTAAGGCTCATACCTGGTCAAATACAATTCTAACCTGTTGCTCTTGCCGATGGGTGTTTCAACGAGTAATAACAGCCATTATCGCCCCCCAGTTTTAGACCAAACAAACAAATTTAAAGGAGATGCACAGAATATTACCCTTCATTTTGCCACAGAAACAGTAGTACTGCGCCAATGGATGGTTCACAAAAGCCGTGACGAGATCTAACAGCTATGAGAAATATCCTTTTTGCAGCCGTAAATGCGGGTAGATTCAACTGACGACATTTAATTTCTTAAGTCCTATTAAAAATATTCCAAGAAGAAAATCCCTTTTACGATTTTGTTATATGCAACAGCAACAGGGAGAATTTAGGAAATTGTACATAAACAAACTTTTAAACGTCGTTGTATCCAGACACGTTTTAAATTTGTTAAACTCTTATGGATTCATTTTTATGGAACTTCTTCTTAATAAATACGGAAAACAGAAAGAAGTAGAAAACAATGGCCATAGGCTGTAATTGCAAGCTATGCCGTAATTTCGTCGAAAAGTAGCATGTAGTGGGAGATCAGCACAAACACAACATTTGAAAGCATCCTGCATTTTTAATCAACTATGTTTACACCATTACTTGTACTATCACGATCCATTTGCTAGTAATCTATAGAACTGCACCCTCGATTAAAAAGCTGACAAGTGTTTTTCTTTGCAGGAAGGAATGTTTTGCCTCGGTATCTAGGCCTGAGCCTTAGGAACTTCTTCAATGAAGATCCGGGACACAGACTGCCACCCCGTGTAGGCGTCACCAGGTTTGTGACTCGGACAATTACCAACCCAAAATCCAACGCGCACCCTTCCTTTGTGGATGTTGTTACAGTGCCCCTCAATATGGCGAACGCGGTGAAGATCTTGAGTATTACCTTGCCACATGTACACCACACCGTCAATGGGTAAAGGAGCTGAACACTCTGCGCCGTTGAAAGTGAAGTACCGACGTTTGCAACAGGCTGTACACCTGTAGATTCTAAGGGCACCAGTCCAGGCCACATGAAGAGCGGTGTCAGAAAAGTTCTTGGTGAAGACACATTCCTATAAAATATTAACGAAATAGACTTAGAAAAGAAAATCATTTGGTTATAAAAGTGAACTTTGCCATGTAATATTAATTAAAATATGTAAATCTTTTAACCTTTACCTTGATTAAACCGTTGTCTTTGTTATCTTCCAATTTATTCCAGGCGCACTCTTTCCAGTTCTTAAAAGGCATCAGACCTGGGTTCCCAGGATGTCCACTTTGTCCACGCTCTCCTTTTGGACCAGGTGGACCCCGTACACCAGGCTCCCCTTTGACACCTTCTTTTCCATTTACACCAGAAGGTCCCCAGGGCCCAGTCTTTCCCGGGCTTCCTGGGTCACCTTTCGCTCCTTCTCGGCCATCACGTCCGTCACGGCCTGGTAACCCGTGCATGCCTGGAATACCACCAAACCCGCAGAATGGGGGAGATTGCTATAGAGATAAACAAAAAGTTACTTTAAAATGTGTTATTTTGCGTTGAGCAAAATAACTCCCTCAGTGGTTTAGTCTCATCGGCGATGCTTAGCCACCTCTAGGGGAAAAAAAAAAAGAAAAAGAAAGAAAAGTACTGTGCCTTTATGACACACTTTAAACAATTTAACCCCTTCATTTCCCCGCCAGCATTTCTGAAAATAAACCCCTGAAAAAGTTCCATCGAATATTTCATAATGTCTGCAAACAACCTTAAAATATTTTTTTCCCTTCGTTTCCTGTTTCCCAACTCTATTTGGCTCGTTGTGTTAAGTGTAGTGGAAAAAATTTACACTAACGCATCGTTAGATATACGGTTGAGACACGACGAAACTTCGAGAAACGAAGTTAGTTGATTGATGTTGATGGATTTAAGAAGTTCCCTAAAACTCTTTCTAAATTATTTTTGCTGATAAAGAGCGAGACTTTGCTAAAGTCATGGAAACCATCCTATTTTTTAAAGGAATCCATCCCATATCTTGCTTTAGTATTAGTTGCCATCATTTATTATGAATTGTTACAGTTTTTTTTCTAAATTATCGGAATTGAAATTGAAACAGTTACACATTTATCTTTGAGCTTTGCAACCTTATCACGATTTTCACGATTTTTGAAAGATGCGATCCATTATTTGGACATTCCTTCACGTCGACCGAGACTGGATAAATACTCACAGAAAAGTACTCTTTAGCAGTTATTGGATTGCGCAAAGTTCTGTTCTTGAAGTTTTTTTTGCCATCATTTGTTCCACTTAAATCAGGCATGGTCCCGCGCAGAAAGTTAATTGACTCACCATATTGCTCGAAGTTTGTTTGCTTTTGTTGCCCGCCACTGCTGTCAAGACCAAGAATGACGCAACAGCAAATAAACACAACAGAGCTAGAGAAACTTTACACGCTGTACTCATCGTGTCGGTTTTTTAAGGGTTTTAATTTTCTGAAGACGAAGTTGGAAAATAAAGTCAGAAATAAAATCAATTAAATGGGCAAACAAATCCTAACACCAGTTTTCTTAAAGTGTCGTGTTTAATGTTTGCCTGAAGAAGACCCTCATAAAAACTAAATCCAGCTGAATCCTTAACCTTTACTAAAACTCGCAGTTTTCAATTTATCGTGAACTTACTCTCAGGGGCAGCCAACGACGGTTTCCTCTTAAACACATTGAAAACACTTTTTAGGCTATAATCCAGAGTACTTTTAGATAGCTAGAAATGCATTTCTAACCGGAGCTATAAAATGATCTAAAATGTATCTATTCGGTCATCCTAGAGGAACTTGAACTTTTTTGAAACTACAGGGGCCTCAGGTTAATTTACCAAAAATTTTAGATGTAATTTAACGTATTACCAAACTGTTGATTTTCTGGTAATTCTTTTCTTCATCACATTTTTGAATCCGAAAATTTTAAGTTTCCTTTTATCTACGAAAAATAGCCCAACCGGAGGAGTGAAATGTGAAAAATTAAACTATTAATAGAAAATCGCAAGGGATTTATGAGATAGCCTTCGAAAATTGTACATGGTACAGTCATCTAGAAATTTTTATTGTTAGCCGTCCTAAAGTAATAGGAAATTCTAGGAAATATTTGCTTCTCCGAACAGATATTTTACAGAAAACAGTTGCCTTCTTACTCAGTCACACCTATTTCTGTGCCCCTCGTCGCTTTTAAGAAAACGCACCCAAGGATGTATATATTTTCAAACTTTACTACGTTCGAGAAACAGATTTTGAAAGACTCTCCGATCAACTAAAAAAATTGTAACTCCTCTTATATTTTAAGTTACAGTCCAGTTCGCGAATTCATTGCGAGTAAAGTGAGATTTTCCAGTCCTTTTGGGTACTCGCATTGCATGAAAAGCCTCAAAACAATTGCCGATCACTATGAATCGTTAGGAAGCGCAAATTACGGATACGAAGCGAAAAAAAACGGACTCAAAGGACTTGAAAAAAGCTGGAAAATTTGTTACCTGTGAACTCTTTTCTGCTCGAGTTGGTCGTCGTAAGTAACATAGGCCACGTTAGTTTAACAACAGCTTTTTCTTCCTTTCTGTTGATTCTTTGTTCGTGTTTTAACAAGTTTTTGTTTACTATAAATTGATTATTACTGTTGGGCTGATTGATAATGAAGATTAAATATTGACTGAAAATTTCTTCATCCAAAAACTATCTAGTACTGTTAGGATTTTTAACTTCCTGTGTTTACTTTTTGTTCCGAGTTCAGCATGAAGTTAGACTAAATCACACGCCGACGAAGATTTTACAGCAGATTTTTTTTTGTAATGAATTCACTTCTTAACAGAACAACTTCATACCTATGGGAACATGAATTACATAGGTACAAATTTTATTAGGTATTTTTGACTATGCTAAAGGGCCTTCTGACTGGAATACAACCACTTCTAAAGTTTTCGTCACTAAATAATCACAAATGTAAGTTTATTGAAATTGATAGCAGTGTTAGTAAGAAAATCCACAACACGAGGGGAAGTGGACAGAACTTAATTCTCCCTAAAGTGAGATCAAACACTGCCAGAAAGGCTTTCAACCTTCATTTAATAGATCGAAACCTTTTGAAAATATTCTAAAAAAAATTTATTAGTATAACTCAGTCGTGATTTTTTTAAAAACCGTATTTTAGAATTCTATTGACAAATACATAATTAATATTTGGCAACGTTAATACAACCATCTAACATTTTTCAGTGCTTGATGAGATACAAAAAATGAGGTTTTCCTGATTTATTTTCTATCGTTCTGGAAGACAGTTTTAAACTTTCATCTTGTTGCCGTGTTTAATGTTTCGTTTGGAAATTACACATTAAATATAATCAATTGAGTTAACGCACACAAAGTCTTTACAATAAAATAATGATATCAACCCGACTTGGTTATAAAAGGCAAGGGAGGTTCAATTTTCCTTTAAAGCGACTCTAAAAGATATTTTTGTGGGGTTGAGTTCTTACTAACTAGCAAGCCTGTAGTTATTGTTTGAACAGACTACCAAGGGGGGTACTCCCTTATTTGGCCTCATTGTGTCTCTGAGGAGGATAGGATATTCAAAGCCTTGAGTCTTAACAGGGTAAACAATTTCACGTTTTATAATACGCGTCTTGAACAAGGGGTCGATCTTTTTGGACCGGGAATGGGAAGGTTGGCGATGAGTGGTCTACTTTTGTGGTACCGACAATTATTTTTTCGAAATAAACCTTATTCTTTGATGTTTGGTTAGAAAAGGACATACGTAAAGTCAGTTGTCTTCAGCATAATTATAGAATAAGTTGTATATTAAGCATTTAAGGTTGTATTTAATTGCCTTATCACCTCTCACGACTTAAACTGTCGCTCTCGATTAGCCCTCTTGTTTGCTCAACATGTTCTCGTTTGAAGGAACAGTATCTCGTTACTGCGCATGCACCAAACTTTGATTTTTGGACAGGATGTCCCGAAATCAAAAGATGCGAGGAGAGTAAGAGAACCTTGAAAAATCCGTTTGCATCGCGCTTGGCCGAGTTCAATACTACATTAAATCTTCTCAGGATTACTGATCAATGATATTTTGTTCCTGTTAAGTTTCGATTTGGGCCAAATCTGGATTTTTTGGCGTTACTTTTATTACCGTTGGCCGGAGGACCAAAAGTTGCTAAGCGCTTTGATGCCGATTGAAGGCTTATTTCTTCTGCCAGCTTCCATACAAGCTCAGATAATTGTGAAAGGAATACGCAGAAATGAAACAGCAACAATAAAGACTGTAAGAAAGAAACCATTGAGACATTAATGTGACTGAGGAGATCTTGTGGAGGGGAGCTTCGTGAAGCAGAATGTTCTGCAACGACGCGTTAGTAAACTTTTAACTGAATCGCCCCACGGCCGACGAAATCAAACAAACAGGCGCTACATGTTTAGAAAAACTAGTTCCATGAAATCATAATATAATTTTTGACTAACCTTTGCGATGATTGAGATTGCATTTTTATTTCTATCTTTCCAACGTTTGAGGCTAGAACGCGAACAAAACAGGCAGATATTACTGGACTTGGAAACAATTGACCTCTGACACAAGTTTCACATTAGAAAATCTGGTTTTAAAGCGAGCGGAAAGAGATTTTCGGGTCGCGAGACGGCCCTGCTAGCGATAAAATCGCGATGAGTCTTCTTGCCGCGAGCCAAATTTTAAATAAGACAAAAGATTTCTTCGAAAGTCTAAAATATTGCCTGAGAATATAAACAACAAATCTCCGTCGGCGGTGCGGTCCGGAAGGAAATCTTGTCGAGTCAATATGACAGTTCTATTGTCTTTTGAAGAAAAAACAGATGACGCTCGCGCGTGCGCATTATCGGGACACTGTCCCTTTAATTTACTTATTTAGTGGGGCTATTGTCTTCAATTTGATATTATGCATGGTTGACAGTACTGATTATTGTCATTTTTTTAAATCGCGAACTTCTCTTTTGACTTTATCAGTATATAGAAGCCTTGAATAAACTGGAAAACGTTCCTTTGTACTAATAAAACGCGAGACTGATATTTGGAAAAGGGAAGAGCTTTACAGGCATTTCTAATACAATACATTGCTTCAAAACAAATATTTTTCTGCGGCAAAATTTGCGATGGAAAGACTTGCTAAAAGCGCTCCATTCTTACCGCAGTCTACAATGTGAAACCTTTTTACTGGCTATTTTCGTAAAATGAAATTATAACAACTTCAACTAGTAAATTTGCTTCCGCTATAATGTTAGAAGAAGCTAAAATTCGAGTGCGCGTTCGAGAAGTGGTCAAAGTTTTTGGTTTGTGACAAACAAAACTACTGGGACAAGTAACTAGTAAGCAATAAGCGCCTGTAGCACTTAACAGTATTGGCTATAAATGCAAACATATTCTTTTAAAATTAAAAGCATTTTAATGTTTTATTTTAGGTTTGTAAGTATTTTCGTCTTTCATTCATTCTTTCGTCAGTCAGTCTTGCTGGCGGGATCCTTTCAGACGATCGAAGTTGAATTTGGATTATACTATAATTGCTTTGCTTTTTAATTACTGTTATAAACTGTTGCCGATAAAATAGAAGGAAAGTGATAAATTCAGTTTATTGTAAAATTTTTGTGTATCGAGGGAGTCCGAATTATATATGCCAAATAGCCATCAAGATAAGTTCAGATAAAACCTAGGCAGCAATTAATGCATTCTTTGTCTCTACTGTGTGCAGTCTAATGAGAAACTGTGAATCTGTAATGACTGAAATAGTTTACATGTTAGTTAAAACCATAACCATAACTGCGGTTTTACGAAATATACACTGACCTATACGGCAGTCGATCCTGGGACGTGGTTAAAATTAAGGAGCTGTAGATTTTCTTTCGAGGCTTTACTTACCCTATTTAATTTGGTTCATTCTCCACGCTTTTCTGGAACTGAACAAGTGTTGCTTGGCGTCCGAGTGTTACATTCCCTTCTCATAGTTACTGAACTTCACCGTAAAAGCTCAGTTGATCATCATCGTTCTCATTGCCAATCACACTCTGAGTTCCGGTGTTAAAATGCTTTCGCAGTGCAATGAAATCTTCAAATATTGTTTTTGTATTTTTCAAACGCTATAGTCAAAGAGCCATTTGTTTCAAACGGAAGAAATATAGCGTTAATTAATTCATTTTAATTGGAGTTTATATTCTTGGAGTGTTTTATGGTCGAATGTAAAACCTCGATGAGTGCGATATTGTATGATAGTAACGATAATTTACGATGACCAAGTATTAGCCAATGATGGCCTAATGTTGCGGTGCAATTTTTAATTGAGCGCAGCATTATATTAATAAAGGTTATACTATAAGCCGCCCATTGCAGCCTGCTAGCACGCTTTTCTATTAGGGGGATACTGTGAAAAACATACGCGAGCTGCGGCGCTCGTTCTCTTGCCGCTCGCTTTGTTCGTCACTCTTTCTCTCAGGCTAATCTTTGCAAGTAGCGAGTGAGGTCATGTTAATCAACCGTTTGAACTTGGTATCAAGCCTTACATCAAATCTAATTTTGCATCGAAAAATTGAACCAGATTGTATCAAATGACCTGGAGATTATTATAAGGAAAAACTTTGTCGCGTCCTTACCGGAAGCTTTATTCTGTTCAGAACAAAATGAAAAAAAGGGTAGTAGAAGAAGAAAACACTAGGGCAATAGGATGAGGGCCAAAAAACGGTAAACCTCTTGTAGCACAATAAGGAGATATGAAATTCGTGTTGTGTTCTGAGGAAAACGAAGCACAGTAATTTTGAACTCAGCCACAGCAAAAAATTCAGTCCTAGTAAAGTACCATTTTCATAGGCATGCACTGAAAAACTAATAAAAGGATCTGAAACCATGTCTATAAGGCAATAGTCCAAGTTTGATATATTGAAATTTGAACATGACTCCGAGGTTTTCTGGTCATTTTTCTATATTTGGTTTGGTTTTCTTTGTGCTCAAGTCTCTTCTGGGAATTGCGAGACAATGGAGTGGTGAAAAATTTTCAAGTTTGACCCTAAAGCCTCGGAGTCATGACAGAATTTTAATATATCGCTATTACAGCATACAGATGTAGAGTTTAAGGCAAACTTTGAGCTTTAGGAACTTCTTCAATAAAGATCCGGGACACAGACTGCCAGCTCGTGGAGGCATCATCAGCGACTCCATGTTGACAAATACCAACCTAGAATCCCACGCGCACCCTTCCTTTGTGAATGTTGTGACAATGCCCCTCAATACGGCGAACACCGTGAACATTGCGAGTGTTAGGTTGCCACATTTACACAATACCGTCAATGGCTAAGGGAGCTGAACACTCTGCGCCGTTGAAAGTGAAGTGCCATCGTTTGCAACATGCAGTAGTTAGATTATAGTATGGAACCGGCTCCTGGCTAAAGTTTACAGTCCTCCTCTGGATAAAAACTCTGGAAATACATAACAACCTTTCTGTTACGTAACGCTGATGAAGTTGGAGTGATTCGAACGAAATTCGATTTGTTTGAATTTGTTGCTCTGAATTTTGGAATGTTATTTGCTATAAAAAGCTTTTAATTTTGCTAATATCGTATGGAAGTTATCTATCACTAAACAATAAAGGATAATGTCAAATTCTTGTCAATCTACTCTGATTTAAACCGCCTCAATTCCGCACTATTTTGGTTTTCGCAGCGACATGAAATACGCGATGCTAAAAATGAGACAAGTTCATCGTTTCAAAACAAAGATAATCGACCGTTATGTACGTATTGACTGTATCGGATCAGAATGACTGGTCTTAAATTGCAGAAAAGTGGACGTCGTTGCTTTGGCCGGAAAAGAAACTGCAGAGAGAAAAGGACTGCAAATGCAGATAAACTGCAAATGCAGATACACAGAGCAAAAAACAAATACGTACTGTCCTAAAAGAAGTAAAACTGGCCGGGAGAATAATTTTAACTTTTGCTACTCCTTGTGTCTTATTTGCTACCAATTTCAAAGTCAAGGTCCATTAAATCGTGCACCGAATGCTTCTGTTTACGAGAGTGTAAAACAAAGCATTTGAGGCCAATTCCTTTTTATATGATCTATAGTGTTCCATGTGATATTCACCTGAGAAAACGAAGTGGGATTTTGATGCAGAAACAATTTAACCTTACCTTTATCAGACCGTGATCCCTGTTATCATCTAAGTTTTTCCAAGCACACTCTCTCCAGTTCCTGTTAGCCAGCATTCCACTTCATCCACACTCCCCCTATGGATCGGGGGCACCTTGCTCCTCTTAGCACCGTTTGCACCAGTAGGGCCAGGAGGACCCAGGGGTCCAGTATTTCCTAGCATTCCTTGGTCACCTTTCGCCCCGTCACGGCCATCCGGTCCGTCATGACCCGGTATCCCAGGTGTACCTGGTATGCCGGGCACTCCATTACAAAAAGATGTTGGCTTCTTTAAAAAAGGAGGCATGATACAGATATAGGAGCAAGAGAGGAGAAAGGGTACCTTTTCGTTAAGGTGGGATCCTGGTTGTTTTTTTTTGGGGGGAAATGATGTTGATTTGGAAAATAAATAATTTAGGGTAGAAAACATAAGCCAGCTAGTCTGCTAATGGGCTCAGAGGCACCTTGTGGTGGTGGTTGAGTATCTGGTATTTGTTTACTAATTATTCACTTCATGTTTTAGTTCTTTTAATAAGATCCCCAAATCCAATATTTTCCAATTTCCCAAAATTTTAAATAGAACCTCCCTATTTTATATTTATTCAGGAAAACATTCGAAAGAAAATCCAAACATTCTCAAAATAAGGGAACTAAAGACTCCAACTTCATGAAGTTTTTTTTTTATTGAATAAAATCTTGGCTAGATATTTAAGAAAAATGGCGCACTAAACGAAAACAATACTTTTGACTAGAAATCCCTTTAATTGTCCCGTTCAGTGTTCGTTTGTAAACAAGGCTTTGGAACTCTTGCAGTTAACATATAGTGCACATTGTTTAAAAGTTTCAAATTAAAATGAAAAATACTCTTGATATATGAACCCTTTGCATGAGCATTTACAATTGAAATCAAAATAATATAACTCGGGAGTTTGGTCGAAATAATCTGAGTTTGTAAAGTTTACGACTCATGTGAACAGACACTCGATAGTTTCAATAAATTTTATATATTCAATGACGGTGGGTTGAACGAGTCATCTATTATGGTGACGCCTACAAATCAGCACATTAGCAAACAAGAGACAATTTTCATGTGACAAATTGTGTTGCAAGCTCCTTTCCAGGGTATCTCTTCTCCTTCATACGCGTCAGAAAGGACTCTTAACCGGTGGTCATGGTGAAAATGGAAGACTATCCAAAATTGCTTATAGGAGCACATCAAATTTCTTTCTGCTTACATTTGTCCAGTCATGGTGGTTTTCCATTGTAGATATCGTGTACGTAAAATTCTAGTCAGTTGACTATTCTGGGTTGCATTTTAGGATACAAAAGAGAGAAAATATTCTTAGCGAAGATTAAAAAGGTCTAACAGAGCCACTGCAACTTAAGGTCTTGTCATTCATTGCATTCTAGGTAATCATGACAGCATCAGTATGGCGTATTAACTCGAAAGAGCATCGCACTCAAATAGGTTCTTGGACCCGTTTTTCGAAAGTCCAATTAATTACTGGCCCCGAAAAGCTGTTTTATCTATCGGTCAAGATATAGGTTTGAACAGTCTCTCAGATAACTGTCAGTTTACAAAACATTTGGACTGGTTTGTTTGCCAGGGCCTGCGCTTTGTTCTTTAGATTGTTTTCAATATTTTGGCTTTGGATCTGTAACGTTTTTGGGACTTCGAGAAATGGATCTATCAACCTTGTTCCCAGGTTCTCTCTCCCTGGGAACGAGGATGTGGATCCCTGAGTTGGGAATACCGTCGTTATCATAATTTCTTGCAATACAAAAAGGACCATAAGAGAATCAAGTGGCAGTAGCTAGCGACTGACAGACCTTTTCAAACGTTTGAAAAAAGATTATCTCTTTTGTATCTTAAAATTTAACCCGACATATCAACTGCGCGCGTCTTTAAAGGTTCCATTCAAAAACTGTAACGAGGGTCAACTATACGCATATATTCCCTTTTTATTGCTCAACAGCAACAGGGAAAAATTACGATTGTGAATGGATAACTTTTCTTTGAACTTCTCACATCAACATTCATTCTAGACAATGCAATATTACGTTCTCTTATGAAATTTGTTTATAAATCAAGATGACTTTTTCACTTATCAAATGAGAATTCAAAAAGTGGTAATTTAAAGGATTGAAAACGTGAAGGACTATTAATTTGCGAAAGACTCCAAATCAGAGGGGATTAAAAAAGAAAAAAAAAGAACACAAACACGCACTTGCAAAGCATCCTGCAACTTTTAATGTTATCATTCCATTACCATTACAATAATCGACCTCCTAGTAATCTGTAGAACTGGCTGGAAGCGATAGTGTTTATCTTAGCAGGATGGATGTTTTGTCTCTGCATTTAGGCCTGAGCCCTTGGAACTTCTTCAATGAAGATCCGGGACACAGATTGCCAGCCTGTATAGGCGTCACCACCACTTCCGGATCCATGTGGACAGTTACCAACCCAGAATCCCACGCGCACCTTTCCTTTGTGAATGTTGTTGCAGTGCCCCTCAATATGGCGGACGCGGTGAAGATCTTGAGTGTTGCCTTGCCACATGTACACCACACCGTCAATAGGTAGAGGAGCTGAGCATTCTGCGCCGTTGAAAGTGAAGTACCAGCGTTTACAACAGTTTGTACACTTATGGAGTCTAAGGGCACCAGTCCAGGCAACGTGAAGGGCAGTGTCAGAAAAGTTCTTGGTGAAGACACAGTCCTATATATGGGGGAGATAAACGTAGAAAAGCAAATCATTTGGTTATAATAGGAGCTGAGATAAAAGTGGAAATGACGATGGCATTTAATACAAAATAAAAGATTTAAATCTTGAAAATTTACCTTTACTAAACCGTTGTCTTTGCCATCGTTTAATTTATTCCATGCGCACTCTTTCCAGTTCTTAAAAGGCATCGGACCTGGGTTCCCAGGATGTCCACTTTGTCCACGGTCTCCTTTTGGACCTGGTGGGCCCTGTACACCAGGCTCTCCTTTAGCACCATCTTTTCCATTTACACCAGCAGGTCCCAGAGGCCCAGTCTTTCCCGGGCTTCCTGGGTCACCTTTCGCTCCTTCTCGGCCATCACGTCCGTCACGGCCTGGTAACCCGTGCATGCCTGGAATACCACCAAACCCGCAGAATGGAGGAGATTGCTGGACAGATAACCAAAAAGTTACTTTAAAAAGTGTTATTGTGCGTTGAGCAAAATAACTTCCTCAGTGATTTAGTCTCCTCGGCGATGCTTAGCCGCCTGTAGACAGAAAAACCCCCTTCCTTTCCCCCACTAGCCTTTCATAATGTCTGCAGATAACCTTAAAATATTTTTTCCCCTTCGTTTCCCGTTTCCCAACTCTATTTGGCTTGTTGTGTTAAGTGTTGTGGAGAAACTTTACATTAAAGCATCGTTAGATATATTTAATCAAAACACGAAGTTAGTTGATGTTGATGGATTTAAGAAGTTCCCTAACGCCTCTTTCTAAATTATGTGTGCTGATAAAGAGTGAGACTTTGTTGAAGTCATGGAAACCATTCTATTTTCCAAAGGAATCTATCCCATATCCGGGTTTAGTATTAGTTGCCCTCATTTATTATGAATTGTTACTAACAGTTTTTTCGAAATTATCGGAATTGAAATTGAAACAGTTACACATTTATTTCTGAACTTTGTAACCTTATCACGCTTTTCACGATTTTTGAAAGATGCGATCCATTGTTTAGACATTCCTTCACGTCGACCGAGAGATAAATACTCACAGAAAAGTACTCTTTAGGAGTTATTGGATAGCGAAAAAAGCAAAGTTCTGTTCTTGAAGTTTTTGCGCTATCATTTGTTCCGGTTGTAGTATAAGGCATGGTCCCGCGCAGAAAGTTAATTGACTCACCATATTGCTCGAGGTTTGTTTGGTTTTGTTGCCCGCCACAGCTGTCAAGACCAAGAATGACGCAACAGCAAATAAACACAACAGAGCCAGAGAAACTTTACACGCTGTACTCATCGTGTCGGTTTTTTAAAGGTTTTTCTGAAGACGAAGTTGGAAAATAAAGTCAGAAATAAAATCAATTAAATGGGCAAACAAATCCTAACAGTAGTTTCTTAAAGTGTCGTGTTTAAAGTTTGCCCGAAGAAGACCCTCATAAAAACTAAATGTAGTTGAATCCTGAACTTTAATTAAAACTCGCAGTTTTCGATTTATCGTGAACTTACTCTCAGGGGTAGCCAACGACGGTTTCCTCTTAAATACATTGGAAAGACTTTTTAGGCTATGATCCAGAGTACTTTTAAATAATCTAGAAATGCATTTCTAACCGTAGCTATAAAATGATCTAAAATGTATCTATTCGGTCATCCTATTGGAACTTAAGTTTTTTCGAAATTACAAGGACCTCAGTTTATTTTACCAAAAATTTTAGATGTAATTTAGCGTATTACCAAAGTGAGAATTTTACTAATTCCTTTTTTCATCACATTTTTGAATCCGAAAATTTTAGGTTTCCTTTTTTCTACGAAAAATAGCCCAACTCGAGGAGTGAAATGTGAAAAATCAAACTATAGAAAATCGCAAGCGATTTATCAGATAGGCTTCGAAAATTGTACATTATGGTACAGTCATCTAGAAATTTTTTTTTTTAGCCGTCCCAAAGTAATAGAAGAGTCTAGGCAATATTTGCTTCTGCAAACAGATATTTTACAGAAAACAGTCGCCTTCTTACTCAGTCGCAGCTATTTTTGTGCCCCCTCATCGCTTTTAACGCCCGGAAAACGCACCTAGGAATGTATATATGTTCAAACTTCACTTCTGTTCTTCTGTTCGTGAAACAGATTTTGAAAGACTCTCCGATCAACTTCAAACATTGTAACTCCTCTTATTTTTTAAGCTACAGTCCAGTTCGCGAATTCATTGCGAGTAAAGTGAGATTATCCAGTCTGTTTGGGTACTCGCATTGCTCGAAAAGTCTCAAAACAATTGCCGACCACTTGATGCATCGTTATGAAGCGAAAATTTCCGATAGCAAGCGAAAAAAACCAGACTCATAGGACTTGAAAAAGGCTGGAAAATTTGTTACCTGTGAACACTTTTCTGCTCGAGTTGATCGTCGTAAGTAACACAGGCCACGTTAGTTTAACAACAGCTTTTTCTTCATTTCTGTTGATTCTTTGTTCGTGTTTTAACAAGTTTTTGTTTACTATAAATTGATTATTACTATTGGACTGATTGACATTGAACATTAAATATTGACTGAAAATTTCTTCATCCAAAAACTATCTAGTACTGTTAGGATTTCTAACTTCCTGTATTTAGGTTTTGTTCCGAGTTCAGCATGAAGTTAGATTAAATCATACGCCGGCGACGATTTTACAGCATTGGATACTGCGAACGTAACATTGAAACACTTGAAGAGATCCCTACCAACTTTTTTTTGTAATGAATTCACTGCGAAACAAAACAACTCCATACCTATGGGAACATGAATTACCGAGGTATAAATTTTATCAGGTATAAGGTAACTATACTAAAAGGCCTTACTGACTGGAATACAGCCACTTCTAAAGTTTTCGTCACTAATAAGAAATGTTAGTTTATTGATAACATTTTTAGAACATCCACAACATGAGGGGAAGTGGACAGAACTTAATGCTACCTAAAGTGAGATATAACACTGCGAGAAAGGCTTTTTACCTTCATTCAATAGATCGAAACGATTTGACAATATTCTAAAGGGAAATTAAGGAGTATAAATGCAGTCGTGATTTTTTAAAAACCATGCATATTTTAGAATTCTATTGATCGCAAAAACTTTCATTCATCGCAAAAACTTTTATGGGGTTGATTTCTTATTAACTAGTAGGCCTGTAGTCTTTGTTTGAGCAGACTACCAAGGGGGGTACTCCCTTATTTGGCCTCATTGTGTCTCTGAAGAGGATATGATTTTCAAAGCCTTGAGTCTTAACAGGATATACAATTTCCATTTTTATAATAAGCGTCTTGAACAGGGTGTCTTTTTGGACCAGGGATGGGAAGGTTAGTGGTAAGTGGTCTCAGTTGTCTTTAGCATAATTATGAAATAAGTCAACTCTATTCAAGGTTGTATTTGCCTTTTACCCTTTCATGACTTAAACTTTCGAGCTCGATTATCTCACTTGTTTGCTCGACATGTTCTCGTTTCATTTGTTTGTTTAGTGAGGCTATTGTCTTCCATTTGATATCATGTATGGTTGATGGCATAAGTGTCACTTTTTTTATATCGTTAACTTCTCTATTGACTTACTTTATCAGTATAGAACCCTCAAATAAATTTGAAAACGTTCCTTTAAAACGCGAGACTGAAATTTGGAAAAGGAAAGATCTTTAAAGGCATTTCTAGTACAATACAGTGCTTCAAAAAAAATATTTTTCTGCAGCAAAATTTGCGATGGGAAGACTTCGCAGTCTACAATGTGAATCCTTACAACTAGCTATTTTCGTAATTATAACAACTTCTACTCGTAAATTTTCTTCCGCCATAAAGTTAGAAGGAGGTAAAATTCGAGTGCGCGTTCGAGAAATGGTCAAAGGTTTTGGTTTTGTGACAAACAAAACTACTGGGACAAAAAACTGAGCAATAAGCGCCTGTATCACTTAACCGTTTTAGTTAATACATACATATATTTTTTAGAAAATTAGAAGCATTTTAATGTTTCATCTTAGTTTTGTAAGTATTTTGTTTTTCGTTTCATTAATTTTTTTTTTTCAGTCAGTCTTACTGGCGTGGTCCTTCCAGACGGTCGAAGTTGAATTTGGATTATACTATGGCTTGCTTTTTCAAAAATTATCATTAAAAACTGTTGCCGATAAAAGAGAAGGAAAGTAATAAGCTCAGTTCATTGTAAAATTATGTGTATCGAGTATCCGGATGATATATGCCAAATAGCCATCACGGCGACAAAACCTAGGCAGCAAAATTCGTTGTCTCTACTGTGTGCAGACTGTAATGAGAAATGGTGAATCTGTAATAACTGAAGTAGTTTACGAATTGCATATTAGTTAAAACCATAACCATAACTACGGTTTTAGGAAATATACACTGACCTCACAGCACAACTCATCACTCGCCATTACAGCTGTATACGGTAGTCGATCCTAAGACGTGGTTAAAATTCGGGAACTGTAGATTTTCTTTCGAGGCTTTACATAATCACCCTATTTGGTTCATTCTCCACGCTTTTCTGGAAATGAACAAGTGTTACTCGGCGTCCGAGTGTTACACTCCCTTCTCATAGTTACTGAACTTCACCGTAAAAGCTCAGTTGATCATCACATTCTGTAGCTTTCGTTCTCACTGCCAATAACACTCTGAGTTTCGCTCTGAAAATACTTTTGCAGCGCAATTAAATCTTCCAATAATGTTTTCACATTTTTCAAACACTATAGTCAAAGCGCCGTTTGTTTCAAACGGGAGAAATATAGCGATAATTAATTCATTTTGATTCGAGTTTATATTCTTGTAGTGTTTTAAGGTCAAATGTTTACCATTCGTAGACTGCGATATTGTATGATAGTAATGATAATTTTCGATGCCCAAGTATTAGCCGATGATGGCTTAATGTTGCGGTGTGATTTTTGGTTGAGCGCAGCATATCAATAAAGGTTATATTATAAGCTGCGCATTGTAGCCTGCTAGCAAGCTCTTCCATTGGGGGGATATTGTGAAAAGTATGCGCGAGCGGCGGCGCTCGTTCTTTCGCCGATCGCTTCGTTCGTCACACATTCTCTCAGGCTAATCTTTGTAATTAGTGAGTTCTGTTATGTGTTTTGCACATTCCAAATCAACCGTTTGAGCTTGGTAACAATTTACATTAAATCTAATTTCGCGTTCAAAAGTTGAACCAGATTGTTTCAAATGACAAGGAAATTATTCTAAGCCATGTTTGACACATCCTTACCTCATGCACGAACCTAACTTTATTCTGTAGAGAGGAAAATGATAAAAAAAGGTAGTAGAAGGAGAAAACACTAGTGCAATAGGACGTGGGCCAAAAAACGGTAAATCCTCTTGTAACACTATAACTGAAGGAGATATGAAACTGATGTTGCGTTCTGCGGAAAACGAATCGAAACACGGTATTAGTTTTGATTCAGCCATAGAAAAAAATCAGTCCTAGTAATGTTTCTAACCTTTTATTTGATATCATCAATTTTCAAGTCTAATTTTCAAGTACCATTTTGCTAGACATACACGGGAAAACTGAAAAAGGATCTGAAACGCTGTAATGCAATTAAAGCATACAGATGTGGAGTTTAAGGCAAACTCTAAGCGTTAGGAACTGATTCAGTTTTTAATAATAGTAGTTAGACTATAAAGTACGGAACCTTCCGGCCAAAGTTTACAATCCTCTTGAACCTTTCTAGCTGTTACTTAACGTTGATGAAGTTGTTCTTGCTCTGAGTTTTAAGAGCGGATGTCAGTAAATTTCGACCAGAGGTATGCAAAAGGTAAAAATCGAAAACTCTCAAAAAAATTCACAAAGTAGCACTAGGTAAGCTGTTAACATAAATATAATTTTTACTTCGATCCGATAGTTATTTTAGACGTATGGGGGGTATCGGTTTCTCTGCTCTCGGACCGGGTTTTACAGTCCCGAGACGGTGTGTGACGAAAAAATCGTTTTAAAAATCAACTCAATTGTAATGCGAACAGTAAATAACTTATTCAGAAAGGAACATAATTATACCCATTTTAAGGGGTGATTTACTCAGTTTCAACGAAAATGTAATATTTTGGAGATTTTTCATTATTTTCAATATTTGAACGTTTCCGTTCGATGAAAAAATGGCAAATTTCAATGCCCAAAATCGTTGACTGGTACCTTGATTTCAGTAAAGAGTCTTATGCCACGTTAAAGAGCGTTATCTCTTCTTTCAAAATCTGTTTTCAAAACTATGGGCAACTTGAAAGAAATTTTTGAGGCCAAAAAATACAAGTAGTACTTTTCTGAAATTTGAGCTTTCCGCGCTCAGCGGGGCGATGCTAAAAACTCGAAAAA